CACCCAGGAAATAAATAGTAGCAACAACGAAAATCCCCTCCCCCTCCCCCTCCCCCTCCCTTCCCCTCCCATCCGATCCAATCACCCCCATCCCCCCTCCCCAACTTAAGCTAACCCGCTAACCTAAATCTTACTACTTATAGACATACTTCTACAGTACAGTACATACGTAGTACATACTTCTACGGTACCGCTACCGCTACCGGTACCGCTACCGGTACCAGTACCAGTACTAGTACACAACTCTCCATCAATCCCGATGCGATACGATGCGATGCGATACGGTACGGTATACGGAACGTATGAAAACCGAGACCCAAAATCTAGACCTCTTTCCATCCTTCCTTCCTCTTTCTTTCTTTCCTCCTTCTTGACTTTCCCCCTGTCCTTCTCTCCTTCCTTCCTTCTTTACTTTACTTTCCTTCTAAATTTAAAAGTGAGGAAGGGGACGAAAATAGAAGAAGTCAAGCAGAAGGAGAAGAAGAGAAGAGGTCAAGCAGAGGAGAAGAAGAGAAGAGGTCAAGCAAAAGGAGAGGAAAAGTAAATGAGATTCGTTCTTCTTGACACTGCCCGATGATGTATCTATTTTCTTCTTCTTCTTCTTTTTTTTTTTTTTTCATATCGTCTAGGGACATAGAGAGAGAGGTTTATACTTTGTGATCTATTTTTATATATACATACACGCGCAGATACACGCATAGAAACATACATCCATCCATACACATACATACAAATCCATACACACTCAGCTACACACATCCATACCGGTACACATCCATACACTCACATCCATCCATTCATAGACATAAAAATAACACACACACACACACACACACACACACACAAACACAAACACAAAATATATAAATAACCATCACGTTTCAACACCCGCCACCCAGTCATGAAACCAGCAAGATACCTACCTACCTACCTACTACGTCGCAGGCGTAAGTATTACCCCTCGAGGGTAGGGAAAACAGGGGTTTTAAAGTGGAAACTAAACTTTTAAGGCACCCTCGAGGGGTAATACTTAGGCCTGTACCGTGGTACCTACCAACCTAGCCACCCATCTCCGCCCCACAAGAGCACAAAAGCACAAAAGCATAAAAGGATAAAAGTATTAATAAAGAAAGAAACAAAAAAAAAAAAAAAAACCCTGAAAGAGAAAAAAAGGCAACCAACCAACCAACTAACCAAACGGGGAAGTAATGCAGAAAAAGTACATCGGGAGTTGAGATGATGGAGGAGTATAGACACAAGGAAATAAGCGAGAGCGAGTCTCGATATACCTGCGACAGCGGTGGTCGGTGTTGATTAGGTACCGGTATACCTACCTACCTACCTACTGTACTACCGGTAGCAAGCTAGCGAGCAAGCTAGCGGTGAGCTTGATTCCGTTCTGGTGTGTAATGGAATGTCATTCCGTTATCTATGGTATCTCGATAGTGGTCATGATGTACCGGTAGATGAGGATAGGGATGAGGGTGAGGGTGAGGATAAGGGTGAGGATGAGGATAAGAAGAGGGTGGATAGGATGGTGCAGTATGTATAGTAGGTATGCAGGCCAAGGTAATGAATAAAATGTGTGTAGAGGGACCTACCGGTAAGTGTGGACGTGTAGGTACCGGTATGTGTGTGTATGAGCGGCGCGCTGATTATTACTGTTTACTTACGTATGTGCCGGATTCGCGGACGTGCGATTGCAATCCGTTACGGAGGTATGCAGGTACGGTACAACCTAGGTAGGTATTGTACGGACATTGTGAGACTGGGTGCTTGGTTAGCCCTCGGTCATTACTCTATGGCGTTTGTCGATTTGGCATTGTCGATTTGGCATTTGTGGATTTGGCATTTTGGTTGATCTGCATGTCCTGTCCGGTGTGGTCGTGGTGTCCGGCAGGCGAGCCAGCCAGTCTGTGTTGCTGCAGAAGCATGGACGAACGCTACGACCTTTTCCCTCGGTACGGTACCCGCAGAGGGTATTCGGGATTTGTATTACTGTTAGACTTTTTTTTCGCTCTTCTTCTTTCCTCTCTCTTATGATTTATGTTTTTCCTTCTTTTTGGTGAAGTCCGTGAGATAGATGAACGGGTGGGTCGGTCGGTCGGTCGGGGTATTCTGACAACGCGGAGCGGAGTGATAGAAGAGGATACGTCGGGTGCATAATTAATGACCCGGCAGCAATGCAGCATCCAGCATGCATGCATGTATGCATAAATAGAAATCAATGCCTGTTCACAAATCAACTGCCGCGGTTTGTTTCTTTTCCCTCGAGTGGCCGATTCCCAATCCCGGCTGCCAGCCAAACCCTAGCTGACCTTACCAATCGCGCACATCCGCCCACCCTTCCTTGCGCGGTGGTGGGGGGGGGGGGGAGGGGGGTGAAGGTGTGGAGGGGAGGGGAGAGTAGAGAGAAGAAGAAGAAGAAGAAGAAGAAGGAGAAGGAGAAGAGGGGATTGGTAGACGGGATCCCCGTAGGCACTCTATTTGGGAGGTGATCGGCTAGCTGTTCTCCCTTCTTTCGACGTCACCTCTCTCTCTATCTCTCTATCTCTCTCTCTCTCTCTCTCTCCTTCTCCCTCTTGGCCCTTCCGCAATTCGGACCTGGCCAGACCCAGGTCGCTCGTGTTTGAGAAATTGCTTAGTCCCCTGGTGTGCCGGGGCCGGCGCGTGTTTCGCAGGGGGGTGGGGGTAGGCGGTAGGTGGTGGTGGTGTGAGCTGAAACCTGGATGGGCCGAGACTTTCTGGGACGGGTTATTTTGGGCTGGAGATGGATGAATGGACGGGGACGGGGACGGGACGGGGATGGGGATGGAGATGGAGATGGAGATCGGGATGGGGATGCGGTGGATGGGGGGAGGTTGTGAGATGAGAGGTTGTAAGAGTCAGAGACCGGGAGAGAAGAAGACGAAGACGAAGAAGAGAGAGGACAAATGCAAGAGAACGATGGCGATCAAATCATTCGATGCGGGCTTGGCGGCATCCGGTTGAAATGTTCCTCCTTCCTGTCTGAGATGTGACTTGCATCGATGCGCCGTTGTCTTTATTGCTAGTGGAGGTTACGTATCAACCGGTTCAACAGCTCCTCACGTGCACCTCGCGCCGACTCGCCGACTCGCCGACTCGCCGTCTCGCTGTCTAGCAGAACCTCTCAGACACCGATTTTCTATCCATCTGTCCGCTCTGAATAAACTGAATCCCTTCATTTCTCTCCTCGAACCGCTCCGTAGGCGTTCCCTTCTCTCTCGCCTCTCATTTCCCTTCCCATCCGCTCGCACGCACGCCCACCCGCTCGCCCGCCCGCACGCACGTCAACAATACTATAACAAATTTCATGACTCTGCCCTGGCCCCGACAACAAACTCAACCGACCTCAACATCCCTCCCCCCCCGACTCGCGCATCGGATTGGATCCATCAGTGCTCGCTGCACTGCACTGCCATCGGACCCCCTTCGCGCCTACGGAGGACGCCCTGGCCAGCCAGACGCAGGGCACACACACATCGGTACGGAGCACACACGCACACACACACAGGCACAGGCACAGGCACAAGCACAGGCACAGGCACAGGCACAGGTACAGGCACAGGCACAGGACCAGACAGACAGTAAGTAGCAGGGAGAGGGCCAGGGCGCCAGGGCACCAGGGCCACCAGGGCCACCAAGGCCAGCAGGGCCTTCCCTCTTCCCCTTCACAAGCGAAGCGCGCTCTCGTTCGCTTCTCTCACCCGTCCGTCCCCCGTCGCCATCGCCGTCGGGCATCCCATCCATCCATCCATCCGGAGAGCTGGCAGCTAGCTACACGGCATAACTCCGACCACAGGACCAACGGGAACAGGAACAAGAACAAGAACAGCAACAGCAACAACGGCTACAACAGCAACAACATCAACCACATCAACATCAACCACATCAACAACAAAAATAGCAACAGCATCCTATCCTATCCTATCCTTTCCTATCCCATCCCATCCCATCCCATCCCATCCCATCCCATCCCGGACCCTCGACCCCTTCGTCCGTTTCCGTTCCCTTCGTTCCCCCCTCCACAGCCCTTCCACATCCCTCCCAGAAAAATAAGAACACGACCCGAGCAGAGACCTGCGCACGCGCCCCCCCTCCCCCCTCGCTCTTGCCCTGCCCGGCCCTGGCCCCTGCCTCGCCCTACCTGGCCCTCGTCGCTCCCTCATAATCTCCTGGTTCCGCTTTCAATTCCCAAACGCTTCTCTCACTTGGAAATTCCCTTTCGCGCTCTCTTTTGTCGTCGCAGGCTTCCTTCCCTACAGACTGGTCTCCGCGCCTCGAAGGAATAGCTCTTCATCTTTTCGCCAGGTCGTCGTCGCCGTCGCCGACACCGTCGCCGACACTGATACCGAAAGGGCGGCAGCTCGAACAAGTGCGCATCAGAACATCTCATCCATTCATCCATTCATCCATTCATCCTTCTCTCCTGGCCCGCCTGCCTGCCCGCCTGCCCGCCCGCTCGCTTTTCCCAGGCCGTCCGTCTCGTGAATCCCACTCGTCCGCTTCTTTCTTAATAATTACTTTTCCCTACCGGACCCTACCGGTCCGTACCATACATATCCGTCGCGCCCGTCAAGCCGGTCCTTCGTCTTCCCTGGCTTCTCGTCTGAGTCGAAAGTTTTGCTGGCTTCGAAACTCCTCGCACAGCGACCGTTCCATCTGCCTGCATTTCTGATCGGAGCCGGCTCCCAACTCGCACTCCTTCAGAACAATCCCCCCATCTCCTTCGTCTCTCGTCTCTCGACATCTCACGACAACACTCGCTTCAGTTCCTCGTCTCGTCTCGTCCTCCGTTTCTTCTTCTCTGCTGTCCCCTTCCTTTTCCATCTATCCCTCAGCCAACTACTGCTTCATCGACGTCCCCAATCGCCGCGCCCTCGACACCGAATCCTCTCACGGCGACGCCCGCGTTTCAATTCCCATCACCATCTTACCCACACACCAGAGTCGGACTTTCGACTCTTCCCATGTCGCACATGATGTATTCGCAGCAGCATGCGCCCATGGCTCCTCCCCAGAAGCCGGAAACCTTCATGCTGAGCAGTGAGGCGCAACAATCGCTCCCGCAGGATGCCCAGGTCGCCCTCCAGCAAGTCGATAACTGTAAGCATCGGGCGCGGCTCTGCGGATTCCTTCGCTGACACGGAATAGTAAAATACTTTTTAATCTCCGCCCCCGTGGACTGGACGCCAGACCAGTACATCCGGCGGTTCCTCTTGCCCACGGGCGAATACGTGTCCTGCGTGCTGTGGTAGGTCGTGATCGTGGGGAGAGATGGGGCGAGACAAAGACTGACCGACCGCTGTAGGAACAACCTCTTTCATATCTCCGGCACGGACATTGTCCGCTGTCTGTCTTTCCGATTCCAAGCCTTTGGCCGGCCGGTGAAGAACTCCAAGAAGTTTGAGGAGGGCATCTTCTCGGATCTGCGAAACCTCAAGTCGGGCACCGATGCCTCCCTCGAAGAGCCCAAGAGCGGCTTCCTCGACTTCCTGTACAAGAACAACTGCATCCGCACACAGAAGAAGCAGAAGGTCTTCTACTGGTACAGCGTACCACATGACCGGCTCTTCCTCGATGCGCTGGAGCGCGACCTGAAGAGGGAGAAGATGGGCCAGGAAGCCACCACGGTGGCGGTCAACGAGCCCGCGCTGTCGTTCGAGTTCGACTCGTCGCAGTCACTCTTCGAGCAGCTCACCAAGGCCCAGCAGGCGAACTCCTCCTCCTTCTCGGCGCAGCAACCGTCCTACTCTCAACAACCCCAATCTCAGTCCACATCTCCCGTCATGCGAGCGATCGACTCCATGCCACCCCCCCAGATGATCCCCCAGACACTGGGGATGCCCGACGAGATGAACCCGATGGCAGCCTACCAGCAGATGACCATGAGTCAACAACAGATGCCTCCACAGATGGTCAAGAGAGAGCAGGATTTCGCTCGCGTGCAGTACAATCAGAATGGGGTTCCCATCTCCCAAGCACACCAACGCCACGCGTCCATGCCCGCATACGGTCTGGAGTACTCTCCCGCGCCTTCGTTTGTCTCGTCGCACTACGAGGACTACAGCAATCGAGGAATCTCCTTCGAGCCAATCACCCCGCCTCAACAGGCTATGGGGATGGGTGCGGAGCCCGCCTACATTGCAAACGAGGATACGGGCCTCTACACGGCCATCCCAGACCACATGGGAAGTGTGAATGGCTTGCACGGCATCATGCAACTCCCCCCGTCCAACCTCTCCGGCCCCTCATTCTCCCACGCTCCGCGCGGATACGGCGCCAACAATGTCTACTCGGTCATTGAAGGTTCCCCCACCTACAAGCAGAGGAGGCGCCGCTCGTCGATTCCTCCTGGAGTTGCCGCCATGGTTGCCGCGTCTGCTGCCGCGGGGCAGCAGCAGCAGCAGGCCCACACTACTCACCGACCGTCAGACCTGAGACGGTCGGTATCGAGGTCCGTTGGTCCGGTCGCTGAGGGTGACGAGTCGGGAGACAACTCTCCGCCCGGACTGAGCTACAGTAGTGGCATGCATCAGCTCGCTCAGCAACATAAAGATCTCATTGACATGTCCCGACATGGAACCCCCCTCTCGACAATTGAAGACTCGCCCGCCATGAACCCGATGGCTCTCCACCCCAACGACTACGGTCACATGCCGCAAGAGGAGCTTTCAGTGGAAAGCTCCATCCACGACTCCCCCAGAAGGCTCATGCAAGGCCCCCATGGTGTGATGCGAAGAGCTCGCAGCGCCACCATGATGGAGCTCGGCCCCTACCCTCAAAAATCACACTCCTGCCCCATCCCCACCTGCGGTCGTCTTTTCAAGCGTCTAGAGCATCTCAAAAGGTATGGTTTTGATTTTCATTTCACACACGGACCGGCTGTCACTCGAAGCCGCTGACACCCCAACTCCTACAGACACGTTAGAACACATACCCAAGAGCGTCCCTACATCTGCCCCCACTGTAATAAGGCATTCTCCCGATCAGACAACCTAGCACAGTATGTCGATTTTACACACATATCACTACACAGACCACACCCCTCTTCGATTCAAGAACAGCTTGCTAACATGTCCTGTCAGGCATCGCCGCACTCACGATCGCAGCGACGGCTCCGATGGTCAATACGGCGGCTACAGCGGCGAGGAAGAGGAGTACGAAGGCGAAGAGCACCTCGTCTCGCTCGAGGAGGCCTCGCCAAATTCGGAAAATAACTACCTGCCTACCAGCATGGCACAGTCGTACGGCAACATGCAAGCGAGTATGGGCATGCCGATGTCCATGGGCATGTCGCACGGTGCCATGGCGGCACCGAGTCAGCTGATCCAGGGTCATCAGATGATGCAGCAGCCGATATGAATTTTGTGAAGAGTTGCCGCTGTCGCGTTCTGGTGCTTCAGCCTGTTCGGTCCAGATTGCTTCTCAGAGGCTAGATGTTTTACCATAGATGGGAGACGTATATGTTTTCTTGTCCGAATCTTCTGCATTTGCATAGCCTTGCGCCATTCACAAAAGATATGTCAGTTTCATTTGTTGGTTGACTGGGGCATGGGATGGGGGAAAGGGGAGGGGATGCTTTTATGAGGTTATGAGGCGGCTGGTTAGCCCGGGAAATTTCTTGCTCTATGCGCTATTTACACGTTTTACTTTCTATCTTTTCGGTTGGACTGATTCTTAGGATGGCTCTCCTTGGGCAAGGGGGATAACTTCCCCGGGCAGGAGGTATGGGACCGGCGCGGGCTGGAAATGGGAGTGATGAGGTGGCGTGATGGACACGACGGATCTTCTATTCTCGTGGTGCTTTCTCTTTGTTGCGATCAGGCCTTTGGCACATACACGCATGCGCAAGATATTTTTTTTTGCTATTCATTTTCGAGGAGAGAAAAAGGAGGGGGGCAAGGGAGACGGACGGTTGCATGGCATAGATAACAGCGCCCTGCTTTGCGACCTAGACGGTGGGAATCCGGGCATGTATGTACAGAGAGTGTCTGCGGGTGCGGAAATGGGAGAGAGAAAGCGAAGGCTACTTTTTGGGCAAGCCGTGTATAAATAGAGAATAATCTTGGCGACTTCTTTTAATCTCTCTACGTTCCATTTGACTTTGACCTTGACTTCATGTTGAGTTTGTTACTGTTGTTACATAGATGCAGAGATGGGTGGGGAAGCACCTTTCCACTGAACACTGTCTGTCACCCATGAATTGCGTGCGTGAGTGGGTATGTATACGGAAGCTAGGTAGACGGGTAGCTTCAGATGAGAAGCTGGAGCGAGATTTCTTCTTGTTGTCTTCTCTTCTTGAACCCGCTGGGTAGATAGAGAGATGGATGGTGGATAGAGGGTGGAGGGGATTGGTGGTGGAGGGATAGGGATGGAGATCGTAAGATGGTAGAATGATTGAGTGGGTGGGTGTATTTGTTTGGATTTGGATTTGCATGTGTATGTGTATGTGTATGTGTAAGAGGAGGGCGAGGGCGGGGGCGAAGGAGGTTTGAATGAAGATAAAGGGGGGGGGGGGAAAGGAAGTATGGGATTTACTTCGTAAGAGGGAGGGTAAGTGTGGGTGGGTTTTGGGTGGATGGTTTTAGAAAGAGGGGGGGAGGGGAAGAGTTGTGAAGTGAAGTAAAGTAAAGTGAAGTGAAGTGAAGTGTAATGGGAATGGAAATGGAAATAGAAGGAAAGTGAAATAAGGGATGGATAGGAGGGCCTAGGCACGTGTAAATAGGCTTTCTCTTCGGTAGCGCCGTCACGTCCGTGTTGTTGTCTTAGGGAGCTGGCTGGCTGGCTGCATGCTTCGACCGCGACGTATGCATCTGGTTCCTTTTCCCATTTCCAATTGCACACTGCACATTGCACCCTTCGTATCCCGTTGCTCTTGCATATATACGTACCTACGTACTTCTCCAATCGCCGCACTGGCAGCCAGATCTGAGCGAGCTGCCACACGAAATCCGATTCCAAGAGATCTTCATCTTCCACGATGGGTGGTGAAGACTGGAGGAGGAAGAGGGCACGGGACCCCGCCAAGCCTGACCCGCGTCGTCGTCGACAACATCAGCGAACGCGTTCTCCCACCACCACCACCATAGCACAATCCGATCTCCCTTCACCATCTGCGACGGGATCCAGGAGAGACGCGCATATCTCGTCGTATCCACTGCGGAAAGAGGAGCTGAAGGAGCTGAAAGTGAAGAGACGCCCAGGTGCTTCTTCCTTGTCCCACATCTCTTCCCCCGCACTGCAACGCGTGCGCGCGCTCCTGGAAACCCGTCCACATAAGGGCACAGCCCAGCAGCAGCGGCAGCAGCAGCAGCAGCAACAACAACGACCACAGCAACAATCTCGTCTCTGTGCCCCTCCGCGGCGCTGCTCGACAAGCCCTCTGAAGGTCTCCTCCTCTGACTGCTTAGAGGTATCCTCATCGCGTGCGCTCACCCCGGGGCTGCGGCGGTCGAAGCTGCTACCTCCTGTTCCGGCGCCTGTGCCTTCGCGAGACTTCTTTGCTGAGTGGGCGGGTCTGGATGATATTGACTGGGAACCCTTGATGCAGATCTCGAGCCCGGCAGAGAAGTTTGCTGTTCCGCTGGTATTCACGGCGTGTGCAGAGGACAACGATACCGAAGAAGACGAAGACGAGGACGAAGCACCATCTCCTTCTGCCCGTGCTAGCACTATCGACCTAGGCCGCCAAGACTTTGCGATTGAGGTGGTGGGGGATGAGCGGATAGATATGGCGAGGAGGGGCTTCAAGGGGGAGAGCTTCGGGGTGGGGGGCGACCAAGATGGGGATGATGGAGGGGATGATACGGAGCTTTTGCTGCGGGAGCAGTTACAGGCTGGGGTTGCGGCAGATGATGGGCAAGTGAGCAGAAGCAGCAGGCCGAAGAAGAGGTCTTCTACCCGGGCGAGGAGTAAACGCCTGAAGCGTGCTCGCCGCTGGTCTGGGGCTGGGGCTGAGGCTGGGGTGACGGCGGGACCCCAAGTGGGAGCTCTGAGGTCTGAGGTTGTGAATGAAGAGGGAGAAGAGGAGGGAGAGGAAAAAGAGGAGGGAGAGGAAGAGGAAGCGGAAGTGGAAGCGGAAGCGGAAGATGGAGAGGAAGAAGAGAAATACACCGTCGACAAGATCCTAGGCAAGAGAAAGTTCAAGGGTAGAGATCACTACCTGGTGAAATGGAAGGGCTACGCAGAGGTGCGCGATCGGACGTGGGAGCCTTGCGATCGGCTCGGGGATGATGTTCCCGATGTGGTTCGGGAGTACGAGGGGAGGAGGCTGAGGCTGAGGCAGAAGAGGCTGAGGAGGAGGAAGTAGTTTGGTTTGGTTTGGTTTGGTTTGGTCTGGTTTGGTTTGGTTTGGCTTGGTTTGGCTTGGCTTGGTTTGCCTTGGTCTGGTTCTTCATGATGATAGAAACGATATACCCGGCGAAGATATGGTATGGTATGGTATGATATGATATAGCACAGGCAAGCTATCTCTTTGGCTCTTGCTGCTAGCTAGCTAGCTGGCTGGCTTCTTGACATGAGTAAATTTCATTCTATTTTTATTTTATTCTGATTTTTTATCTCTCGTTTAGCGAGAGTAAATTCGATTTCAATCTGTTTACTCTCTCTCTCTCTCTCTCTCTCTCTCTCTCTCTCTCT